GGGGTTGAATGCAGGTTACATGCATAGTTCATAATGAGAAACAATGACAAATGTAATGTTTTTCATTGGAGGACTGTAGCTGCAGTTCCTCTTCTTTCTTGTCCTGCATCAAAAGCTGAGCTGTGTAATCCAATCTGACAGTTTCCTGCGACATAATGTGTCCCCAAACTTAAAAGACGCCAGGCAAATCCACCCAGAGACCCCCTGTCCCTGCAATTACGACAGACACCCAGCAGTTATCCCCACTAGGATACAGCACTAAACATGGGGCTTCTCTGAAGCAATTATAATGAAACTATAGCAGATTACCCTTTCTCTAAGCCTTCATGCCTTTATTCATTTAAAGGGCTGGTGCAGCAGAAATGAGTATGTGTTTATGAAAAAGAACTGGGGAAAGAGTGTACACGAATGGTTTTAAACCTCAGGGTGCTAACTGGTTCTGTAGATAGAAAAAAAAATCAAATGGCCTCAGGCCATAGAGCTGGAACTGTGACAGGGGTTTTCAAAGCAAAATAAAGTGAGTAAAGGAAAATCTCCAATACTGACAGGAGTGAGCCCCTCATGAAATAAAAATCCCAAAGTGCATGCCAGACTGTTAAGATAGCTTTTATAATAGTATAAAATACAGTAAATGTAGCTTTTTGACCTATGAAGCCCATATGATGGTCTTTGTGTGAATGTCCACACAACTGAAAGACTTTCTGAATGTATATAAGTGCTAAGTTATTTTAGAAAGGAACATTTAAAAGATGAAAAAGAGGAATTAGGGAGAATCAATACATTATGAACAATTTATTGCTGTTGTTTGAATAATCATGTAATCAATAAAGAAAGTAACTGTAGCCTGATTACGAGTAAAATCTAATTACAAGTACCTAATTTTTGGAATCTGATTAATCCAGATTACATGTAATCAGTTACTACCCAGCACTGTTTAAGACGCTGTGTTAAGTTTAAAGTAGTTTAACTTTGAAAAACACATCTCAAGACCACTGCTTTTTGTTCCATTTGGTTGCACTCCATCTGTTTTGAATGCATGAATATTTCCTGCAAGATGGCATCACACTGTAATTGAGAAATGCATAAACCTCATATGTGAATGTCTGCATTTCTGGTAATCAAAATGAAAGGTCCTCTGAGAAGTCATTGCGAATTATTCTGTCAGATTCAACCCTACGCAGGGCCTCAGAAGATGTAATTTTGCCTGTATATGTGGGTGGAATGCTATGTGCTAGTGAAAGCGGCTAACAGTATTTAGGTTGACTTCTAGCTCCTATTAATAGTCTAGAGAAAGTAGCTTTTGAGGTCAACAAATTCCAGCCCCCTGATTTCTCTGATGTTGCAGGTTTCTGTTTGTTTCTTTGCTATCACGAATAATACTGCATAATTTAGACTGCATCAAACTTCAGAACAAAAGCAGTTGTTACTCTCTTTTAAAAGTGCAATGAATATTTCGTACGGAGTTAACAGTTGGGGGTTTCTAACTTTCTGCTTCCTTGTTTTATTCTTCCATTGAAGCGTCACTCTCATCTGTCATTCATACTCAAAACATTATTGCATTGCTTTTCTGCACATTTTAACTTTAGTCTCCCAGGGCTTTTGTTTGCAGTGTTTTAATATTTTAGTTGCTGTCACATTGAAAACATCCCAGTTGTTAACTTTTTCTATAGTATTTCTAGTATTTGTCCCCACAGTCAAGGTGATCACTTCAACAGAGGTGTAATCTTTCGGATTTGTCTATAAAAGCAGCACGTCTGTCATATTTGACTCAGAATGTCTTATTTTAATTATTTCTGTAATTACTTCCCCCCCACAGATTTTACGTCTCACATTCAAGGGAGAAATCATTCCATTCACAAGCAATTGGATGAGAGTCATACTTGCCCTTGGCAACTAAAGATGACGTTACTATGGAAACGACTTGTGGTGCTATCAATCATTGGCTGCCTTGCAGGTAAATTATTGTCCTGCTGTTTTTCAAACTGAATGTTTTTTTTTTGTTTTTTCCTTTGTTTTTTTTTTGGGGCTGAATGTATATGTGTCATGAATGGAAGATTTTCATTATGATCATAAGCCTTGGATTCATTCATTCAGTCCTTGGAGGAGGTTTGAGACAAGACACTGAAGTTGGATAAGTTTATATGTGCATTCATGTTGAATATATTGTTGTTTTGAATGCCACTGCATTTAATTATCATTTTATATTCAGAAAGGAGGAAATATGATATTGAGAAAGCAATCCCTTTTTGTGCTTAGTTCTCGAAGTAATAAACTTCAACAAGAAAGCACCACTCATATGAAAAATAACTAAATAAAATAACCCCAATTTTGAACCCCAAGTTATTTTTCTTTATATATACACTGCCATTCAAAAGTTTGGAGTCAGTAGATTTTTTAAATGTTTTTGAAAGCCTCGTAAAAATTATTGTGTGAAAGCTCATCAATTTATTTGATCAATATTTAGGAAAAAAAACATTTAAAGTTATGTATTTAAAAAAATTGTTTCCTGTGTTGGCAAAGCTGAATTTTCAGCTGAACCTTCGGAAGTCATTCTAATATGCTAATTTGCTTAAGTAACATTTCTTATTAATATCAATGTTGAAAACGTCTAGGTTACTTGTGTAACCCTCGTTCCCTGAAGGAGGGAACGGAGACGTTACGTCAGTGACTGACGAATTGGGATCTCGCCCGAAAGGCCAATCAGCCTCGAGCGGTAACTAAAC